TTGCCGATCTTGTATAAACCGTAGACGAGGACCTTTAGAACAACCTTCACATACAATCACATATATGCATATTAAAGCATTGTAGGATGCTGGTAAGGATGCAGGGATGAACTCCAGGTGGTGTGCCGGTAACACCCCATACTCCCCCTGATCTCTTTGCGCCCGCCAACTCTAGGTCTACTCCCCGACGGACTGTATACTAAGTGTCAGCAAACTCACCCAACCCTTCCCCGATTACTTTAGATAGCATTCATTTCGACTAGCCGCTCTTTGATGAGGTTTTGCTTGGGGTCGGAACGGAGCCTACACGAATAAAGCGAAAACCCCAACACTCACCGAAAGCTTCTGAAAGGGTTCCTTGCTTGGCGAACCTCTTCCTCTGAGAGATTCTCAACTTCGCATGCCGGCTGTGTTTGCAATGTGCCGGACCTGTCCTAGCCTTTCGACTCAAGCCGTTCGGATTCTCCAAGTTGCTTGCCGAAGCCATGCAGGTGATTGCCCGGAAAACCCAGCTTCACTTATCGGTTTGAGTTTGCTGCATGCTTCGTACCCCAGTTTCAAAGGTGACTGGCTTCAGCACCATTTCGCTGCTCCCTGGCAAGCCGTGACCAAAATGGTGGACAGTGTTTTTCTGTCATCTTCAACCCCCACAGCACAGCACGCCACGCCACGCACAGCAAGATGAGGTGTCGGACTGCCGGTGAGAGTCAAATAGGACCACATGAGTGGGGCCGGAGTTAACAAAAAGGGTGCCGATGCTAGTAAAACAGGGTCTCCACACACCGACAGCTGCCTTCTGCCATGTTAGCCATGGGTCATTCTTCCGCGTGTCGTACCTGCACAGCACGCGCTGTGCATGCCGCAGAGGAAGTTAATGCAGTTCATGTGCTTACAAATTATTGTGCTTTGCTGGTTTGCACATGTCACACAAATGTTGCAACATCCCCTCTCTGACAGCGGATCTGTCGTTGTTTGAACACCGTCAGGACATAGCTCACTGCCAGGCGCACTTCTTCAGTTCCTGCAGCGCAGCTGGCATTGAGAGAGGAATGCCACACTTCTGCTAAACACCTATCAATCAAGCTATATAGTTCTGCTCGGAGGCTGCTACGGCAGCATGCCCTTGTGCTTCCAGACAGCCCTCTGCATACCTCAGCGCGCCTCTGCCAGCCGATTTCTCAGCAGGATGAGCCGGTCGGCCTGCAGAGTATAGCGGCAATAACTTTGTCGATCGAAGCTTGCTTTCACACGTTGCTGAACGAATAGCTGAAAGCTCCGAGACACACAAGATAAATGAAAGAAGTGGCAACAGCGAATAAGTGGAATAACTGGGAGATAGGGGAACACACGCTTACACCGACACGCAGGTGTATGTGCTAGAGAGTTTGCGGACAAATTTCATGGCATGTTAATGCAAACACAGGTGCTCCAACGATGCCTGCAACGCCGCAATGCATTGCGCTGGTTCATGCATGCATGCATGCCTGCATGCACGCACTGGTGTGTGCTTATATAAGCAAATACATAAATAAATATATATGTATACATATATGTATATATATATATATATATATGTGTGTGTGTGTGTGTGTGCGCGCATGCGTGTGAGAGCATGCATGCGTGTGTGTGTGTGTGGATGTATGTGTACATCTGCACATGGATGTGTACGTATGCCGATGTAGATGTCTAAAGCGCCGGCACTTCGGGCGACGGGACATGATCGGTTCGTGAAGATAGGTACAGATAGGTACAGTAGCGCCGGCAGGAGCACGTCTGAGGTAGCAGGTCAGTCTGCGGACAGACTGTGAAGGCTTGGGGCCACACCCAATACTTGTTCCACTCTGCAGTGGTCTGCGAACATCGCTGCCTCACTGCCACGATCTGCCAAATTCGTTTCTCCCAATGGTCAGTTGATGCCGGCTCCAACACCTTCACCACATTGGCTAATATCTAGAAACTAGCAGCAACTTGCTTGGGTGCACGGCAGCGTTGTCATCCGCCCCAGGATGTCTACTTCGGCGCCGACATGCAAATCCCAAACGGTCACCGCCTCCAGCAGCAGGCAAGTCAACATCATGAATCATGATGGTCGGCTTCTCTGATTTCAGAAATGTACCTGTACCGGCAGCAACCAACAATGCAGTGGAAAGGCAAAGCTTCGACAGCATTTTGCGTTTCATCGTGCTTGGGAGAGCATCTGACCTAGCAGCATGCATGATGTATCGGTGAAAACAAACGAGCATCTTGCCCCGCATCCAGCCCAGGCCATACCCCCTTGAGTGTGCCCATTTCTGTATGATGTCACTGTCAGGAACTGAAGGCAAATGCCAGGAAGCTGCGGCCTGGCGGCCTCCATGAACACTGCTACACGACACTCCATCTCCCACCAGTGAGCAAACCGGTCACAAACAAAAGAAGAGTTTGTCTCAGATTGACCCAGCGCAGATTTGTTCACGATCTACAAACACCCTGTATAGAATTGACTGTGCTATCGTTACGAATACAACTAGCATCACAGTTCCCCTAGCCCCACGTCGCAGTGGTCACGTACATCCGCTGGATGCTGCCTTGCTGACACTAAGCGATTGCCGGGTGCAGCAACTCCCGTTGCGGCTTCTCCCCATTTGACTGCAACAGACTCTCTGATCTTTCGTATAAGTGCTCGCATGCCAGTGCATCGGAAAAAAACAAGGGTATGGACAGAAACCCACCAATCAATTCCGGACGAAGTCCTGACCCGTTTGAGGGCCTCTCCGGTCCGTGCACCATAGGCCACCGGGACGTGATATAGATTGCTATCCTCACAAGATCTCACAGGCCCTCACATATTATCTGCTGCTAAATTAAGCTTGTCTCTGGGCTGTTATGGCGATTCGACAACTGCACGAAGCGGTCTTTGGCAAAGGCAAGGGTAGCAGAGTTCTGCGTCAGAACCAAGAGTTCGCCCACTGATATGTCTTCCGTTCAGGTGGCGGCAGTGACAGGACCACAAGCTCTGAGCTACTCTTCCCAACCTCGTCGATGGCCATTTGAAAAGCTCCTTCCGTAATGCTGTACCTGCTGTTCGGCTGGGATGGACGGATGAGCCCTCTTGCCTTGCCTGCCCTACACTCGGCTGGGTGAAGATCCTCGAATATCATATCCGTTGGAAGCATCACTTTTTGCGAGTAGACTGCCCAGACTTGCCTACTCCATCCGAGACCCCGGCCTTATATACACGAAGCGCCGATGCTTGCCCTCATTCCTGGGGTTGCTGAGAGGACAGAGGGCGGATGATGCCAAGACTCAAGGTCATGCTTTAGGGTGGCATCTTCCAGGCATTTTCGTTTGCAGAACAGTAATACAAAGGCTTTCGACTTTATGGTCTCTCGGGCAAAACAAGCGAGAACAGTCGAGGTCCGCGGGTGAGCAGTCGAGTAAGATACCTTGAGAGCCAAGGCTGGACGAGGGAATTCTCAGCCGTCTCAATACAGAGAGTCAATTTAATTAACAAGGCCGTGTTGTCTGACAAAGCTTTATAAATTCTCGCATCGTCTTTGACACGATAGCTCGGTATTGAGCGGTCACTTGGCTTTTTGGCTGCGAGCCCCGAGAATATCCGAGGCCAGCACCACCAGGAGTCGAACTCTAAGCAGTGACACCCGGGGCTGCCGGCAGGCGCGACACCTTGGCGGCCAACCAGAATAAAGGAAAGCGCTTCGGATCGGCCGAGGCTTCCTGCACGGGGTACTTAGGTACTTCGAGCTTCAGCACTCGGGATTCTGCTTTTCGGGAATCGGCTCCGCTTCGAAGCATTGCTTGCCCGTAAGCTTCGATCATTGGCTCATGGATTTCCGATGTCTCAAGGGGCTGTGGTTCAAGGCCGTGAGATGGTCTGGAGTATCGGGTTGTCGTTGCCTCTCGTGGTCAGCATCAACTGTTCCTCTGTTGCCCAGCGTCTGGAAAACTTGCCTTGCTGGACTGGGCTTTGTGCACTCGCCATGCTACAACGTGCAAGGAATCCGCAAAGACATGGCGAATAGTCAACGATGCCGTTGCCTCTTCCTGAGAGCTTGGCTGGAGAGCTCTTCATGCAGCTTGGAAGTGCTGTCGTCGATCTGCCGCATCAGAAAGGGATGATTTGTTGGTCGCACGCCAAGGGGCAACCCCCCTACCCCACATGCTGCATAGGAGATTAAAGTAGCTAGCAGCCATATAAAGCCACAGTTCCACAGATGGAGCTAAACGGCCTTCAAAGCCTTCAGATCATAGAATATTATGACTATTACTACTATTACTACTATTATTACTATTATTACTAGTATTACTATAACTACCATTATTACCATTATTACTATTATTACTATTATTACTATTATTACTAGTGCTGTGACGGCCCTCAACGAGTAGTCGCAGTCCACCTCGGGGCTGCCTCCTCGAGGCTCGGCCTGGCAAAGGGGTAACGGTAGCGATGGCGCTCGTTCATTTCGATACTTGCTATTTATGGCTGTTAACTTCCTAAACAACTTCGCATAAACAGGTATACGTTTATATATATATATATGCATGTCGCACTTCGACACTCATGTTAGTCTCGGAGTAGCTGGAATGTTAACCTGCGCAGTCGTCGTGGGAATACTAATCGGAGCCGTCGTGATACGTGAAGGTCGAGGCGGTGGGCATGGTAGTCGTAGTTGACATTCCAGCAGAACTAGCGACAGCAACAAACACCTAGCTATAGTATGACCGAAAGCATGAATCAGCTGTATGAAGACCGTGCTAGCAGTGGCAACAATCGCCCCAATGGAGTTAACAGCAACACAAAGGACCGCAGGCACATCACCGACAATGAGTAGCGATATCTCATCGTGGGCCAGAGAGCTAGTAGAGTTAGTAGCGTCAACAAATGCAACACCAGACTAGTGCAGTGTCCGAGTCACAGAATTTATTTGCAGCTTCGGGCGATGCAGACAGGGGCAAATGGGCTTCCCGCAAGTCGGTTGAGGACCCCACCATTTGCCATGCACTGCCTCCGGTCAGGCAATTCAAAGGCTGCCTGACACAGGGCTGCAAAACACGAACGATTCAAAAACAGCTCGACCATAAAGTGCCGAGACGCTCGGCAATGGGTTGGGTTTAGGAGTGTAGTTAGAAGGCTGCAAACTCACCGCTCGGGCAGTCCTACATGTGTTTGACCGGCTGAATCTCCCAAGTTAATTCCAAGACCTCGTGCCGCAAGATCTGCAGGACAGGCGCTGCAGCCGGCTGTCTGGGGATCTGGAGCCCGAGCGTCCACACGCATCTCCGACAGTACCCATCATGGACAAGGTGCACGATGCTCTGGCCGATAAGAAGTAATTATCTGGTATGGTGCCGTGCCAAAAGTACTATCGTTCATGCACCTAGACCTGTTGCCAAGCAGTGACCCCCATTCCCCACTGCTTTTTGCCGTACAAGTCAGGCATCGGATGCCAAGCTTCCAATGTGTGAAACGACACCTCACTTCGAGCTACTTTGTAGGTTCCAGACGCACCCCCTCTGCTGTGCGGACAACATGCAAGCAACCGTTTGGAACTTGAGCTGTGACTAAGCTGCGATCACTTTGAAGTCAGCAGTGGCCTGCAGAAGCACAAGCCTCTTCAAATAGAGGCTCGCGGTTCCGAGGAGCCTGAAGGGGACCTATCTACGTAAACAATATGTCACGAAACCCTTGCAGGTGCATTGTTTTGCGATCATGATCAATGTCATCCCCAGGCCTGCTGACAGCCTGTGCTCAAAAGGTTCTTATGCCTGGCAGGCTGGAAGCTGCGACGATTGACATGATTGCAAAACGGCTCCCTGAGACGTGAGGGCAATAAACTTTGTCTGCTGACAGTGCAGCATTGCCAGCAAGAAGGACAGAGGTCACCCGACGTCTTGAGTCCTAAAGGGTACTTGAAGTGTTCTAGACATCATCCATCATCTATCTATCAGGCAATTACGCACTTTCTTCGTCAAGGTTGGCCTCTTGTCTGTAAAGGTGACAGGCACAATGCCCGAGAGCTACTGTCTCAGCACGCGGGACGTGGCAGGTGCTTCAATTGCAGCACCGAAAGAGTTGAGGGCAAATGGGTGGCAGTGCAGGTCGTGGTGCCTGCACTGCCAAAACAAAAGGCTCGGATGACGAACAAGCTCTGCTGTTTCATCCAAAGAGCCTGGGTACACGACCCCGGGCTACGAACTCCCCGCTACCGAACATGCCAAGTTTCTGGAAGTCTGAAGTCGGTGCCACAGCTTGCCATTGAAGCAAGACTGTGCGCACACTCAGTGGTATTTTCTAAGATATGCTCCTTCCTTGACTACACTTGCAAACTATATAGCGCCCGACATGCACTGGTAACTTACGACGCACTATTCCTTACATATTGTTGAAGTCGAGCTGGCTTACCGGAGAGCTGTGAGGTGTATCTTTGCACCCGTCTGGCCAGCAGGTGTGGCCATGCACGTGCACATCGGAATTGCTGAGACCTGTTGCAGGCTTCGTCGAGGCTTGCACTGCATGCATCTTCTAGCAGAAGCGACTACCGCGAAGGACTGTCCAAACCGGACCCAACATGCAAGGGATCGAAAGTGACTCAATCTGTCAGCGGTGCCTTGTTGGTCATCTACATTCTCCTGGCCTCAACCACTTGCCTCAGGATATCAATCAAACGCCGTGCCACAACAATGACTTGTCCAAACATCTTGGCGTTTGTGCAACCTTTCGTCCGACAGGGTGCAAAGCAAAGTCGGCGAGCTCGTGGATCGCTGACGTTGCCAAACCTGGTGTTGCTCAAACGTGGGAGAAAAGGCATGGCGACAGAAGGCCGCAGGCCACAGCTGCATCACTAAAGTTGATTACCCGATCTACTGTCAGAAGGATGTCAGAAGGCATACACTGCTGTGGACCTGGCGCACGCGTCTTTGCAACAAAGCCAAACCCCGCTCGCCCTTTTCTTTCCGCAGGCATCTCTCAAGTGCGCCACGACGGCCTCGCCGTAGAGCCTTCGCCTAGCAGAAAGCTTTAGAAGGCTGAAGATATGCAGGCTGCGTCTTTGCTTCATCCGTTCGTGCCAAACAGAGCGGTGCCGCTACGGCCCAGGTACTGTACCCAAGATCCACCGTAGAACAAACGCAACGCCGCCAAGGATCTTCACTGCGGATAGCGGGCTCAGCTCCTCCACACCACCAGGCAACTCCAACTCCGAAAGTCCCGCGATCTCCTCCTCAGGTCTTGAGGGGCATCTCAACATCTCTGTGCTCTTCCGGGCTTCAAAACCAACTGTCTGGCGCAGACATGTGCAAACGGTCTGGGCCTTTGTGTTACAAAGAAATTAAAGATTAACAAGTTACAAGTTGCCTTCCGTTTTAATCTGTCAGCAGAGTGTTGCGGGTGCGGGCTATCCAGGCATGCCTAACCCATCTGAATGCAAGCTACGCCTCGCTGCATGCCCTACATCGAGCTAAGCTTGTGTGTTTGTGCCATATGCAGGAGAAGCCAAAGCACATCCTGACCGGAGCTTAACTTTTCGAACTGCCAGGCGACGTCCGTGAGCACGAACTGCCCCGGCACCCCAGCCTGCCTCGGCCACTCACCCTGCTTCAATTGAAATCCGATTTTGGGGGGACAGTTCAAAGCTTGGAGCGATGTCGGAAAAGATTGTATGTGCCTGACATGAAACGAGAACCCGGCTTTGAACATCGACAACCTGTGCCCTCACACATGGCAATGCGTTGGGGCACTTCCCCAGCAGTGCCCGCAGTTGCCGCAGGCTCTGTCGAATGCCAGCACCCGCACCGCCAGGACCTGCACGAAGAGCCACTGCCTCTTTGGCCGCAGCGGATGCGCCACAAGCATCCTCGTGATGGATCGCATCGGGAAGTATATCGCTTCGGGACATGAATCATGCATCTTCAACTGCCAATTCTTTTAAAAAGAAGTTATGTAACTCGTGGCCGGCACTACAGTCTCTACATGAAATTCTGTACGATTCAAAGCCTAAGCCGAGTTGCTACTGGGCTGAAAAGCAGGTCTGGTGGAGAGCTCAGCGCCTGAGCTTCTGCAGAGAGATCCATCTCGCCGGCCAACACGCGATCAGCGCTCGGGGTGGCCACCAAGTAGGCATTCGTCGCCTCGTCTCCCGGCACGGGGTTACATCATAAACGGAGCGATCGCCCAAGGGAACGGACAGAAAGCTGTTGAACTGGCCAATGTCACTTCCTAGTCCTCCAAGGCACATATGGGGAGTGCCGAAACTCCTCCCTCAAGTAGCCAGCTCCAAGCAGGGACAGTGCCACGTACATGACTGCCTCAGACGCCATCTCTCCGCGCCACTTGCAACTTTTCTGGACCTGAAGCGAACAAGAAACCGGCCATGGGACATGTTCTGCTGACTTGTTCTGGGCCGACTGAAGCTTTTCCCTCCACAAACCGTCATCGAGCGAATCAAAATGCCCCCCATCAACTCGACCCTGGGCTCTTCCAGCAACGCTTATCGGTCGGCTGGCCTCTCGGCCCCAACTTTGAAGCAGTCGGTTGCCACTGGCTTACTACGACTATATGAATCAATATGGAACACCTAGAAGAGCTTCTTGGCTCTGCTTTCTTCATTTCGTTCCATCGACTATCACATTTACGCCACCCTGATCATGAAGTGTATCTCCGACCCACCTGGCCTTGTCCGAAAGCTTTGCCAGTGTCAGTTGCTCTTCCTGGCCTTTGGAGAAGGAGCGGCCAAAGCAATGTGGCTGGTGCAAGACACTCAGTGAATCGATACAGAAGTCTCGGTTGAGATCGACCTGCGTTCAGGAAAGCCCTGTGCCCCAGCAGAAGCACAAGAAGAGCTGTGAATTATCAAGGTCAGAATCCTTCAATCTTGAACTTGAACTCCCAACATCTCCCAAGCAAGCATATTGCCGTCCTCGTGCTGCTGCACCAGCACGCAAAGCGCTTGTCAGTGCCTCTGGTGGGGTCGATGGCCTCAGTAGTGAGTAGCGCGGCAGGGAATCAGGGTTGGGTCAGTTAGGATCCGCGAGAGGAGGCTGGGAAGTTGTCGACTTCCACACTTGGGCATGCAAGGGCAATCAATGATTTCACCACTGCGAATTCCCAGGTATGGCGTTTAGCGAGCGCGCTGTTGTATGACAAAGCAAGAACGTCTGACTGGGATCTCCAGCTCGGAGGCTGTAGTGATTCAATGCGGCAGCGCGCCGTATCTAACTTCCCTAACATCATCATCACCACCGTCATCATCATCATCATCATCACGTCCACTCGAACCTAGGCGTACGCGGCATACTGTTCGCCGTACAGGTGAGGTGTCTACCTTGCAACGGTAGCTGGAGGCGATCAAGATGGGTCGAATGCAAGACTGAGGTGCATCGTCTCGGCCCTCGCTCTGGCCGTTGCAAACTCTGAACAGCTCACCCTGTGGCCCTGTGTTTCCAAGAATCGAGAATGGGGAAGCGGGAAGCTTGATAGTTGCGAAAAGCACCCAAGCAAGTTCTCATTGAACTAAACTGAGAGGTTAGAGGTCCAGCAGCGGCCGTTTTTTTAGATTGGTTGAACTGTGCCCAAGACGCATCAGGCGCGGCTTCTTCCGAGCCGGAGGTTCGCTGATGTCACAGCGCTTGGCCTCGATGCAGCTGCAGACAACATGATCTTGCGTGTGTCTTCCTGACTTCAGGGTTCCCAGTTCCCATGACCGGGCTGAGGCCACAGCCATGCAAACGTCACAGCCACGGTCGCAAGGTGGCAGCTCCTACAGTGCATGGGTAGTCTAAAGGCAATAAGTAGTCTAGAGGGTGGATCGGTCAAGACTTTGGCAACTCTCTTTTGCAACCTATCCTCGCCAAAGTGACGCGAGATCTGCATGCGCCGACACTCGCTCCCGTGACCTGAAGGCATTGCAAACATGAAACGCTCGAGTATTGAACCAATCAGCGAAATCCCCCCCTCAATATTTAGAAGGCTTTTGACATGTGTGCTTTGCTAGTTTGTGCTTGCGAAGGCTTGCAACTGTGGTTATGCCGCAGATTTGCCTGCTCCGTTCACCAATCATTCCGGTGGATGACTCGCCAGGTGTCACACCTCTGACCACCGCAAACACGTGATGTCGTGATGTCCAAGCCACAATACATTGCAGCCTTGTAGAGCTCTCGTAAGGATGCCGGCTTGTAGTAGTTCCTCTGTAGCCGGGGGCGTGCAAGGTGGAAGGCTCTCGAAGTGCTTGGGTCCTCCAAAGCTAATTAGCAAACAAAATGGTACATGTATATATATATATATATATATGTATATTATATATATGTATATATTTGTATGTATATGTATATATACACATAAACTAATTATGAGCAAGAGACATGACGCTGTGCCGCGGAACGTCGCTAGGGCGGTAGAGCAGCAAGCAAAGAGCAGGCTTGCCGTCCCTCCCAGCGCGGCCAGCTTCCTGGTAGTAATGGTGAAGCGAAGCCGGCAAGCCAGCGTGGACCACGAACCGTACGTCGCTCCTCGGCTTGTCGAAACACGGCCAGATAAGGATAGTTTAAGCATGAATCGAAACCCTTGGTATGATCATGCGAGGCTCTTGTTGATACCCATGCCGAAGGCCACGGTGGCCACCACCACGCTGATGCGGCCCTCCACCCAAGAGGAGTGGACTCTCTGGCGAGCCGACGCATCCAGATCTCCATGATAGAACTCGCAGGGCACGCCAGCTTCTGCCAAGCCTTGCCGCAACTGCTCTGCTTCCTTGCGTGTGAAGCAGTAGACGAGGCCAGGCGTACCTCGGATCCGACTCCTGACATTCTTTGAACTCGGCAATGCTTTCGTGGTGTTTCCCTGGTCTCAGCTCGCCTTGCTTCTCCTACTTACCCATGCGCCCTTTGTCTGCCGCCTGTCACAGAATCGGGGACTCTGAATGTGCACGCTTGCGCCTGCACCCATGCTCTGTAGAACGAAACCAAATCTGGCACAGTAAAAGCCGTCTGTCTCCAAAAGACGGAACAATTCAACTGTCACGACTGCACATGCTAGTTTTGTGTGTGTATGGATAGACATATGTATGTATGTGTGTATATATATAGAGTTATATATGTAGATAGATAGACAGACAGACAGATAGATAGATAGATAGATAGATGAACAGATTGATTTCAAAAGTAGTAGGGTTAGTAGGGCCTTAGACGCCTTACACAAATTCAGATAGCACGAGTTTATTCAATCGCAGGCTGGGGAGGCGAAACGGAGGTGGAATTTGAGATTTGGGCCAGCGGCTGAAAAAGGCTAAGCAAAAGCAGCGAGGCCCGAAATGGTTCAGGTCCGACGACAAGGGTCAGGGCATAGATAGATACATAGATACTTAGCTGGATCGATAGATAGCTGGATAGATGGATGGATAGGTGGGCAGATAGATAGGTAGCTAGATAGGTCGATAGATAGAGTAGGCAAACAGACAGCTAGATGGATAGGTAGATAGATAGACAGATAGATAGCAAGCAAACAACAAATACGAGCACAACAATATCATTTATTGTGTGTTATACCTATATTGAAATTTAGGAGTATGAGTAGAGAGTGGAGGGAGAGGGAGAGCGCGAGAGAGGGAGGAAGAGTGAGAGGGAGAGAGTAAACGAAAGAGAAAAGGAAGGAGGGATCAGGTCCTCTCGATCTCGACACCAAAGTCCGTTCAACATCTGGTTGTCATGACTCAAGCCAGCCCTGTAAGCTTCAAGAGGTAACGGACCACCGGCATCATGACTTGGTTGAAGGCGTGATAAGGAGGGAGAGAGACAAAGAGAGAGAGAGAGAGAGAGAGAGAGTCGTCGGCAACCCGGTGCCAGGCCGCCTCGTGGAAAAAGCTGGATTGTGGACAGCACCATTGCCAGAACGTCCGCTGCGGCCTTCGGCCGATGACCTGCAAAGTCTGCAAAAACTGTCCCCACCTTTCAGTTCGGCCATGATGCTACGGGCTGCAAACCTGTGCCTAACATTGCCAACATTTTCCCAGAGTCAAAAGCCACCCCTGGCACAACCGAGTGATTTCGGTTGTCAATGTACAAGCCAGTAAGTAAGACCCGTCTTGCGAAACATGAGCATGTGCTACGTGTAGGATGAAGCGCTTCGAACAACGAAGCCAAGCTGCGCACGGCATAGAACAGGTTGGGTCGATCCGTCGGCGCGCGGAGCTCTACGGCACCCGCCATGCCCAGGCCTCGGAAGCGACCGGCAGTGACCTGGTGTTACAAGTGCTGATCGTGCTTGTCTCGGGGCCAAGAACCCGAACAAAGACGGCGACGATAACATGACGGGGCTGGTGCTGGTGAGTACGGTGGTGCTGGTACTGCCAGTGATGCGCCAATGTTGGTGTAGACAACTTCCCTAACGCAAGCGGCGAAGCGCAGAACATTCGAGCGGTGCGGTACTGACCTTATCAACTAAAGCCAGTAGGGCACTCGATTAAGCACGTGGCAGCGCTGCACGTCGCCAGCGACGGTCTGAGTAGCCTCAGGCAGATCGTTTATACGAGGGCCTGTGATTCCCAGGTCCGACCGTCAGGGACCCACAAGCCGTCCAAAATGCAAGGACACTCACACCCTTGTTGCCTCTGCCCCCGTCTTGCCAAGGGGCTGTGGCTGTCAGCGCGAGTATTGGAGTTTGTGGAAACTGGACCCGTAGAGCGGCCAAGCGCTCGTAATCCTGACGCTGCAACGCAGCTCCATCAAGAAAACCATCTCGATGAACATCGATGAACGGATGGGATGCAAGTGATAGTCACTTGCTCGTGGCAGCTCTCACCCCAGCAAATTGGCGGCAGCTCCGTGGGGCAATTGAAGTCTCGGTGGTAGTACTATAGTGCTACGACTAGTAACTAGTAACTAGCACTAGTACGAGTAGTCGTCGTCGCAGCAAAAAGTAGGAGCAGTATCAGTCCTAGCCCTACTCCCCCCGAACAAAAAAAGCATTGGGAACTGGTCACGAGCATAAATGCACGAAGAAAACAGGGCGCGCTTCCCCGTGAGTTGTGGCAGCTTGATAGCAATCGTTGTGTCCGGGGAAACGACTCGACAGGTGCAAGGTGAGTTCCAATACCCACATGCCACTGCAAAGGCTTGCAAGCGCTGCATCTCCCAGGCATCACAAGTATGTAGCAGCCCAAGCATCAGGTCCTGTCGAAAGTCGTGGCCCCATTGTGAGATGCAGTGCGCCTGATCTGCATGGTTGAGCAGTGGAGTATAAACGAGATCATGCGGGAAGCCGAAGCTGCTCTTCAGCCTACATCAGCTCTACAAGATCCAACCCCGCGTTCGCTGCTTCCGGGCAGAAACATTCTCAAGCCGTGTCCCTGACCCGAACCCCATGTTGCGACTTCTCTGCAGAAGTCCTGTCTTACAAACTTGCATGTCTTTACAGTCCTCATCACTGCCATCATCTTCCGCATCATCCTCGCCTGAATCATCACCACTATCTATTCATCGCCACTGTCATCCCCGAAATCAACAGATTGCAGCAGGTACAGATGCAATTAGACACATTGCAGCACAGATTGGCATCGGCAATCCCTGGCCTCGTCAATTGCCAGCAAGCCCAGTCGGTCTGCGGCATAGATTTTCTCAAGGAGATTCATAACCTAGGCTAGCGCAGCGAATAGCTGGGCCGAGGAAGGGATCGGAACAGTTCTAGAAACCAACCAAGCGCTGACATACGAGTCCGCCATCAAATGCGTCGGGAAGCAAGCTTGCTCTTTGCCAGTCGCTCTGGCGTCAAATAGAGGATCCGGAGTCCATCTGTCAGAATCGAAACGCCAAGTTAGCTTGACGTACGTGTCTGGCTGACTTCACCTGGCTTTAATAAGCCTCAACAAAGCTCTGGATAGTGCAGTCTAGTCGTGACGAATATATCACGACTGCACACACTAAGCAATCGTGCGATAGCATGCATTCCTGCCAACATGGTCTCAACACTCAACACTCAAACAAGAAACACTAAAGCGTGACCGATCACGACACGGCACAGTGCGTGAGAATGTGTGTATGTGTGTTGTAATGATACAATGGCCTCCTCCATCCTTGGCTGTGAGGGCCTTCATCTCCGCACGGATCTTCGTCTGATCCTGGGCCAGTTGGACAGAAGGGAAGTCGAATAAACGATTCCCTGAGCCCATGTTTCCGATACCGTCATATTTTATGCCATGTCACGATGCCGAGCTTTAAACCCGATTGTGCAATCATCTTGTCAGAAGAGAGAGAGAGAGAGAGAGA